GCTCGTGTCACCCCTGCCGCCTGCGCTGTCCTGACATCCGGCGCCGGCCCGCGGCTGCTGTCCGCGTCCTTCCCACAATGCCGCTGGGGGGCTGCCCTGGCGCGGATGTACAAAGAGTGGTGGGGGTGGGGCTGTGCAGGAGCTGGGGGTTCAGGGTTCGATGATGTTTAGAAATGCATTCCTGTACCCCAGTGCTTGCTGTTTGTAAACACAACAATATGGTTCCCAGTTCTGGCCACCACATTCCCATTCCGGGCGGCACATCCCCCTGGCTGCGTCCCAGGGAATCGGAGCCCGTGACTCAGCAGCGGCTGGAGCCCAGCGCCCGATGGCCGCGCCGCGGGGGGCGGGAGGAGAGTTGAAAGGCGGGCGTGTGGGGGGTCTTTGAAGGCGGGGGTCAGGGGGTTTTGAAGTCTCCGTCTCTCGGCTGGAGAGACGCTCCTGTCTGCCCCGGCCGTGAGCCTCCCGGCTGAAGAGAAGGCAGGGGTTACTCCCACATGCCCCCGGGGAACGAGCTGCAGCCCGCAGGCTCCTATTTCATGACCTGCCCTGCCAGCTGGGTCTGCAGGCCAGCTCGGTCTCAGCCAATCAACCACGCGGTCAATTCACCAATCGATCCAGTTAGCTGAGCTGACTTACAGACCATTTGCATGAAGCGTTGAGGTCAAGGAATGAGGTAGGATTAAAAGGGGGCTCGAGCAGGGAGCTGCGTCAGGCTGCGAAAGGAACAAGTAAAGGTTTACTTTCCCAGACTGGAAAGAGAAGAAAAGAAACGCGTTCGGGCTGCGGAGCCTTCTTCGGACGTGAGGACGAGAGGAAAGCCAGCAGCTGACAAAGCAGGAGGGAGACAAAGCTGGGAGTGGAGAAGAGGCGGGAGCAGGAGAGAAGCAGAGTGGGCACTCAGGTGGGCACTCGGGTCATTAAAAGGTGCAACAGGTAAATTAATGACACAGTGAGACTAATGGGAGCTGGACAAGCAGTGGACACAGGGCAGTAGTGTACAAGCTCTGTAGACCTGCATGTGGTTGGTGAGAGCGAGTTAGTGCCAGCACTTCGCCAGGAACAGGTTACAGATCCCAGGGGTCTGCACTTTTTGAATAAAATAGCCAACATTAGTCTACTAGGTGGACTAGAACCTTTAAAAGGTTTCAAAGAGCAAGCATTACTGTACACAAAGGGTGGTAGGGGCTTGGAACAAGCTGCCCTGTCATCTTTCAGGACGCAGCTGGAGGAGACCCTCCGGTCAGGACAGAAGGCGCTTCTTAACCCAAAGAGTGGTGGGGGTGTGGAACAAGCTGCCCAGCCATGCTGTTGGAGCTGACACCCTGGCTTCTTTCAAGACACATTTGGAGGAGATCCTCAGAGGAGCACAGCAACGAGGTGCTAAATACTAAATGAGCTGGGCGGGCTCCTCTTGCCTGTAAACCTGCTGTATGGTCTGGGTCTTTTAAAAACAATCTGACGTTGGCAGCCACAGGGGTTAACACGAAAGATAGCAATATTGTCGTGATTAATTGTTAAAGCGCCAGTCTTCCCCGCTTAAGAATAATTAAGACACCTGCCACGGTCAGAAGGCGTCTCATCGGAGAAATCCAGCAGCGTTCCCAGCTATCCAGCTTGACTCCAGGAAGCCTCTCCTGTTTCTACAGGCTCTTCACTGTGACACTGGAGGTTTCGACGGGAAATATTCGTCGATCCCTGTGATTTTTCAGGAATACTATGTTGGTGTGTGTCTGTTTAACGGTTTTAAATTATTTTGTATTGTAGGCAAAACAGAAATGAGGAACAGCAGAATGTGTGTCTTGCGTCACAACAGGATCCCCCTCCCTTTCAAGGGCAGCGGGCAGTCATGACCTCCCTTAGATCCCAGTTTAGCGAAGGGTATTCCTTCCTCTCCTGGGGGTTCCATGTTTTTCCATGAGTCATTATAATGTACAGTTTTGTACTTGTGATCATTGTGCTATATACAGTACATATTCCACCCATCTCTATGTCCTAGGGAAAGGCGTGTTGTTGAGTCAAAATAAATGATACCAACTATACCTGGACTGGGCTCCAGAGAACCAGGGTGGGGGGACCCCCCGATTTAGGGGTGACCTGTAAGAAGAACTGGACTGGGGCTCCACAGGAACAAAGTTGGAGACTCCTGATATAGGGTGACCTATAAGACGAACTGGTTTGGGGCTCCTTAGGACCGAGGTTGGGGACCCCCGAGTTAGGGAGACCTGGCAGACTGACTGGAGTGGGGCTCCCCAGGACTAGGGTCAGAGATCCCTGGTCTTGTAGCTTGTATCTTGTATCTTGTAGCTACAGCTCACTGCTCCGGAGAGCCCCTGCCTTTTCACTCCTGTTGAGCTCCAGGTGACCGAACTCCCCTCAAGAACCTCTCCCACTTCCAGTAGGTGCTGAAGTTGCCTATAAAGCCTAAATCTAAATAAATCTGCCAGGGACAAAGCCTAACACATTTCATACCTGTTACACACACACCTGGACCCTGGGGGCCTTCAGTTCAAGGTCCCTGATCGCCATCCGTTCAGATCCGCTAACCCTCGTAAGAACGTACCCAAAGAAACTCAGAGTGGATTTGAGCCAGGGCAGGAAACGAAACGTATAAAGAGCAAGTTTTATTGCAATTTAAAATGCGTAAACACACTGTGCATCTCTCGCCAAATAGCATCTTAACCAGATATGATCGTAAAACAATGCTTCCATACTTTAATGACTTTACAGTACATTCTCTTGTACAGCCTTATAATACAAATGGATCAGCACACACCAGTCTGATAATTACTCGGTGTCGGGTTTAGTGGGTTACAGTCCAAGGGCTATGCGGACTGTACATTAACAGTAGGATACTGGCTCATGTCAAGAAGACACCGTTTCCTTGTTCTCTAGCTACTTACTACTAGTTATTAGTAAATGTTTAAATAAATTGAATTTTTATACACTAATTTGTTTTTAGGAAAAGTAGACAGATGATAATGAGAAAGGTAACTGCAGTGGAGAAGAGAGAGCAGACTCCCGGGGAGGCGATGGGCTTGGTCCTCACAGGGGGGCTCCACGTGCCTGTTGGGCGGAGGGAGAAAGAGGGCTGACTCGCAGACACTGCCCCCTAGTGGGTGGCTGACTGTCCCCAAGCCAGAAACAACGTCCCTTGCTTTTCAGGCTTGTTTCCTCTCCTCTCCTCACACAACGTTTATGGGGGTGAAGGCCCCCCCCCCTCCCCCCTTTATATTAGAAAACAGGGCAAGTGGTCTATTTTTTTAATGTATTCGTACTGGCTAAGTCCAGGACAGGCCTTAAATCCAGCGCATTCCCTGCCTCTTGATTACACCGGCAACAGGCCGAGCTCTAGCCCTGTCGCAGATAATTAGTTTCCTTATCGACATTCTCCGCAGGCGTCGGCAGAATGTGTCGGCCGAGGTTCATTAAAACGGGCCGCAGAATGTAACCCGTCTCGCTGATGGGTTTTTGTAGCCGGTTTTTTTAAAAGAAAATGAATTGATCATTAGTTCCCCCCCCCCGCCCCGCCCCCCCATCTAAATGTTTTTCCTCTTTTCACTCAGAGTTACAAAACTCCTGTCACCCTCCCAGAGCACACAACTGGTCCCTCTCTTTCGGCCTCTCGTCTGTGCCTCCTCTTCCTCCCGCGGTCTCCCCCTCTTCCAGGCTCCCCCTCTTTCTTTCTCCTCCTCTCTCCTCAACCTGTCTCTCCCATCGCTCTCCTCCTGCCTCTCTCCATCTTTCTCCTCTCACCCTGTCTCTCTCCCCTCTTCCCTGTCTCTCTCTCTCTCCGCTCCCCCACTCCTCCTGACTTTCACCTCTCTCATCTCTCTCCTCTCCCCCCATTTTTCTTCTCCTCTTGTCTCTCCTCTCTTCTTCCCCATCTCTCTCCTCTCTCCCTGTCTCTCCTCTCCCCCTGTCTCTCCTCTCCCCCTGTGTCTCTCCTCTCCCTCTCTCCTTTCCCCGTCTATCTCCTCTCACCCGTCTCTCTCATTTCTCTTCTTCTCCCCCCGTCTCTCTCCTCTCTCCTTTCCCCCCTGTCTCTCTCCTCTCTCTCTTCCCCTGTCTTGCCCTCTGCCCCTGCTCCCTCTTACCTTCAGAGCAGCATGCAGCCCCGTTTCTTGACCTTGGCGGGCTGGGGGCAGAGGACGGCACGGATGGCCTCGTCGAACACGGTCTTCAGCCCTCGCTGCGTCAGGGCAGAGCACTCGAGGTACTTCACCGCATCTGCGGGGCACAACAGCGTCACCTTCCAGCGCCTCCTGCCCACCAGACTGTTCCCTGCTCCGCTGGACTTGGTCTGACGTTCTTCTGCTTATAGGGCTCTCTCGGAATAGGATCGCCACCCTCCCACCCCTCTAGCATCTGAAAGCCCCTTATTCCTGACTGAGGCCCTTGAGCCACAGACAGAGGAGACTCCCAGGGGAACTGATCCGAGTATTCCGGATCTCCAAGGGCTGCCGTCAGCCCTGCCGACTTCTCCAGCAAGAAGAAGGAAACGCCCACCCAAAGACACTAAAGGCCAGAACGACAGGAAGGTGCCTTCAGAACCGAGGTCGGCAGGACAGCTGTTACACAAAGGGTGGTGGGGGTGGGGAACGAGCTGTGCGGCCATGTTGTGGGAGCCGGCGCCCCAGCCTCTTTCAGGGGACAGCTGGACGAGATGAGTTTAGAGACATCGGTCAGTCTTTGGGGTTCGAAAGAGCAAGCCCAGCAGACCCCCCTGTGGCTGTAGGAAGAACGTGTAAACTCCACCCGAAAGGTGCCCCCCGGCCAGACTTGAACCCAGGACCCCAAGAGCTCAAGTGCCAGTGTCGTGTGCTTTTGAGCATAAGAAAGTAGAAATGGAGAAAAAAAATATTCTTAAAACTATCTTCAAAATGCAAATACTGTGGCTCGCAATTGGTGGCTTGTCATCTGTTTGTAATGCTGTAAAACTGATCAATTTAGGAGCTGGTTTCTAAAAAAATTGTTTATACAACATCCCTCAAGCCTGAGCATTAACTGGAAAATTAGAAATTAGTCACCACGCAGACTTCAGGATCGGCCAATCAGTAAAGCTGCTGGTTCAGAGCTCAGATCAACTATCTAATTAAATAAATCAAATTAGTATCAGTCTGTTTGCTGTAATGTCTCAACTATGAAAAGGCAATCGCTCTCTGCTGAGGGAAAAGCTTTTTTTTTTTAAAGATTTAGCCTGCCAGGGCTATTTACCTACGTGCAGACGTCCCAAACCGAGGAGCCACTCGAAGCCGCGGCGCCATCTGGTGGCGACACGAGTCACACACCGGGAGGCATGAAGAAAGATGGCATCTTCAAAGCCCCTGTGTCAGCCACAGACTCAGGCAGTTCAGTGCATCCTACTCTCTCAGGTCCGGGAGAAAACCTGTGATCTTTCTGCGGGCCACGTACACTCACTGAACAGGCCCCTGAAAGGGTTAAGACAGCACTGGCCCAGGTCTGGGTCATGCCAGAGGTCAGGGGGTAAAAGTGATCGCCGAAGCAGCGGCGCAAAACTCTGGGGGTGGGAGGGCAGTGGTGCCGCACCTCTGGGTACCACTAGGGGGCGACAGGACCCAAGGACAGGGCGTGAACGGAGCGGGCCAGTCCGACCTGAGCTGTGTCCCCAGCTCTCTCCCGCCCCCCGGCTGGCAGAATTGTCTCCTGCTAATGGG